AAAAAAAAAAAAGGGAAATGGAACTTTTCGTCCACGGCTTCCCCTCTGACGTCGCCGCCCTCAGGGTGAGCCCCGCCCCCTTTTTGAAGCCACGCCCACCTCATTAAACCCCACCCCTTAATTAAAACCCTAATTAAACCCCATTTCTTAATTAAAACCCTAATTAAACCCCATTTCTTAATTAAAACCCTGCTCATTTAAGCCCCTTTACTTCATTAAACCTCTCCCTTTAATTAAACTCCACCCCTTAATTAAAACCCTAATTAAGCCACACTCTTCAATTAAAGCCCACCCTTAATTAAAACCCTCATTAAGCAACGTTTCTTAATTAAATCCCGTTCCTTAGCTGAAACCCTAATTAAACGCCACCCCTTAATTAAGACCCCAGTGTTAATTAAAACCCTAATTAAACCCCGCCCCTTAATTAAAACCCCAGCCTCTTAAGCCCCTCCCACCTCATTAAACCCCAGGCCTTAATTAAACCCCCACTTTTAATTAAAACCCTAATTAAACCCCACTCTTCATTTAAAACCCACCCTGAATTAAAACTCTAATTAACCTCTACCCCTTAATTAAAATCCCACCCTTAATTAAAACCCTAATTAAGCCGAAACCCCTTAATTAAAACCCCGCTCTTAATTATAACCCTAATTAAGCCCCACCCACTCTTCACTTAAAGCCCAGCCTTAATTAAAATCTTCATTAAGCTGAACCCCTTAATTAAACCCCGCCTCTTAATTAAACCTCATTCCTTAATTAAACCCTTAATTAAATGCCACCTCTTAAAACCCCGCCCATTTAAGCCCCTCCCACCTCATTAAACCCCTCCCTTTAATTAAAACACCCCTTTTAATTAAAACCCCAATTAAACCACTCTTATTAAAACCCCGCCCATTTAAACTCCTCCCACCTCATTGAATCCCTCCCCTTAATTAAACCCCCGCTTTTAATTAAAACCCTAATTAAACCCCGCCCCTTAATTAAAACCCCACCCTTTTAAGCCCCTCCCACCTCATTAAACCCCTCCCCTTAATTAAAACCCTAATTAAACCCCATTAATTAACCCCTCCCTCAATTCCAATCAGTTCGAGTGGGCGTGGCAACACCCCAACGCCTCCCGCCGCCTGCTGGCCCCGCCCCCTCGCCTCCCCCGCGAGCAGCCAATCAGCTTCCAGCTCCGCCTCTTGCCCCGCCTCCTCCGGGCCCCGCCTTGGTCCCGCCTCCCCCTGCGCCTGCGTTGGCTCCGCCCACAACGGCCCCGCTTGGAGTTGGCCCCGCCCCCTCACGTGGTGGAGGAGGAAGGGGCGGGGCCACCGCGCCTGAAAAGGAGAAAGGGGCGGGGCCAAGTGGTGGAGGGGGAGGAGGAGGAGGGGAAGGGGTGTGGCCT